CTTCAATGAAAGCTCTCTGAAAGCTGGGATTGTCTTTTTGTATTTGCAGCACTTGAGATGGTATCTGCTATATAGCAGCTGTTTAGTGATCATTATTTGTTGAATGAATCTCAAATGGTCATCAGTTTTTTTCTGGGTAACAGCACTAAAAAAATTGGAAAAATGCAAATAGTTTCAGAAGGACTGTAATCATAGTTCCTTCTCTTCTGTCCTATTCTGGTGCTCCTTCTCAGCTTCTTGTTTTTTGTTTATCTGATCCTTAAAGGCTGTCAAAAAGCACACTTAAGTGTCCCCCTCTGAAAGCCTTTCTCTCAGCTCTGTTTACTCTGGGTGCCACCGTTGCTCTGTGCTACAATGTTTGGATAGTGGTCCCCACCCTGCCTCCACCTCCTGCTCTCCTGCCCTCTGAACCCACTACAATCCATTTTCCTCACTGGAGAGGCGTCTCTCAAAAGGTCAGTGATGACCTCACTGCCAAACACAGCCATCTGATTTTAGCCCTCAAAATATAAAAAGCTATGTTTGGTGTTGCTCTTAGCTTCTTGGGTTCTCTCACATCACTCTCCTGGTTCTGCTTCAGCTTCTTGGACCTCTCTGCCACTCCCTACTGCCTCTTTCTCCTCCCTTTGTACCAAAGCAGACTCCCCTTCCTCTGCCCCTTAGAGTGGTCTCACTCCGTGTTCCTCTTGGAAGTCTCTTTCACGCTCAGGCTTCCACTAGCGGCAATGAATGCTGGTTTCTGACTCTGAGCTCCACCTAGCCCCTTGAATTCCAGCCACATTCCAGCCTGCTCAGGAAATAGGTAAACTCTTTGAAGCTTATCTTACTGTGTGCACCCAGCCACTCTGATTTCCAGATGAGCAGGTGGAGGCATAGACTCAGAAACTGAGGGAATGGCTAATTAGAAGCAGCATAGTTTAGGATTTGTGTGATTCAGTCCACTCATATGCAAAAAGCAATGGAATATAGTCCCCATGTCACAAGTTGGCTTTAAGAATTATAATTAAGCATATGTACAAAGTCCTGAGAAAAATACATAGAAAGTGGTAAATACTTGGCCTATTGTAAATGCTAAGCACTTTCTGGGCTTTATTTTCCTTACCTGGAGATTGAATCAATATTCTTTACATTATGTACTACAATGTAAAGGTCAAGGCCTTAAATACAGGGGAAGGATTGGTACAGAGTAAGAAAAACAGTTCCGAACTTTTACATTTAAAAGGCATAAGTGAAGAGAGCAACAGAAGACTAAGTGTTAGGAAAGAAAATGAAAGCATTTCAGTTAATTCCATGTTGACAACGTATGAAACATTCAGTTCACATCATAATACTGAATTAAATTCCATTTACCATCTGAATCAGCAGATATGTGTGAAATCTTTGACAGAATAGTAATTTTGTATTTTTAAATTTATAAAATTGTTAATTACCTAAAGCTTTTGTAAATACCATGTGATTTTTATCTTCTCAACTGAAAAAATTAGGCCCCAGGGTCTAGAAGTGAGCTCTTCCCCAGTGTTTCCATATATACCGAAGAACGTTCTTGTCTTACACTTTCAGTTGCCAGGCACTCAGGAGCAGATAGGAGCTCATCCAAAAGAGCTGCTTGGCTTTCTTTCTCTGCATACAGTTAGGTTTTGACTCCTCATCCAAACAGGTTACCTATTCTAATAATTATCAGGGAATAGTTTTGCCAAATTGGACTAAATGCATGTGGCACCTTTGGACAAAAACCAGGAACAGTGTATTAAACATAAATACAGGAGATTTTCTTCAAAGAAAATAAAGAATGATATTGCATTGTGGTTGGTAATTATGTACATCAACTATATTATATATTTTATATCTGGCCCAAGGCAATTCCTCTTCAAGACTCAGTGTGGGCCAGGCAATCCAGGCATGTCCAATCAGGGTCACAGACTGCACACACCCATGAGGGTAAGAGCCTTGAGGCTCATGTCCTATTTGGCTTTGATTCATATCCCTACCAGACTGTCCATTTTGAAATGCCCTACAGCAATACCTAGAGACCACAATATCATCATATCAGGAGTAATGCCATAAGAAGAAACAGTTGTGCAAAGAGCCATTAAACATGGATACATTGAGTTCATTCTCTTCTTTGAATGAGCCCAAGGAACAGCACCTCCTATACCTGAGCCTCAATTCTATTACTCGTTATTTGATATGGGGTTACTTGGGCCATCTCTGGGCCTTAATTTCCTCATCTGTAAAATAGGCATGATAGGACCTTACAAAGAATTCATAAAATGAACATGTAAACTTTTTATAATAAATGTTCATTTACTTAACCTGAAATGAGAGTTTCTTTGTTGGTGATTTACCTTTAGAATGTGACCTTGCGTAAGCACCAATGTGATCAAAATCACTTTACTTTTCACAGGATTCACAGGCACCAATTCTTCCCCTCTGTTAAATGCACCTGTGCTGTGTGTGTGTGTGTGTGCGCGCGCGCATGCACGTGCACTATAAGCATGACACGAGGTGCAATCTGAGATGAAAAATCTTTCTGATGAACATAATTTTAATGACAATCTTCCTTGTGGATTTGTGCTGAAAATATTACTTTTTCCTATATGTTTATGAAAAGACAACCTTGTTTAACCTCAGAGGCATATTTATTTTTCTTTGTGATGAGGCCTCCTTTGGTAGAACTAAGAGATGTAATAAGCGCAATCCTTCCCATTTATTAAATTGTGAAATCTTTCGATGAAATCTATATTCCTCAAAGATGCATTTATTTTACCCAGCCTCATTTCATACACCTTTTATTTCTCAAGTTAAGAATATGTGTAGTATATAGTAATGCTTTTATCCACAAATTGTCCCTTAATGAATGAAAATATAGCATAAAATCTAATCCTTAAAAATTGCTTTTTAAAAGAGCTACAAAATTCTAATTCATTCAAGATTCAATAAAAATCAAGTTTATTTAATTTGAAAAATATGTTTACGTTAATAATATGTAGTCTTGAATAATTGCCAGATGTGATCCTGATAAAGCAGGCAACTGTTCCATAGTTGAGCCACAGACCACTGAGATTAACTTGGAAAATGCAACTTTTATTGAAGAACAATTTATGAGGATTGTTGAATTATGACAAAGTCAAGGTAAACAGTGAAATGACTGTAGATTTACAGAATGATCCCAAGGACATTCAAAACAAACAAATGGCTACTTTTAAGGCCATTTGCAACCTATGCAATTTGTATTTCTATTTGGTGTCAGATAAATTTGTATGTCTATTTGGTGTCAGATAAATTCCATCAAATTTAAATGACCTTAGAAGAGTTTGTCTAATAAAATACACGGCCATGATGCCTGCGTGGTTAATGCCCGCTCAAAACTTGCTGTTTCTCAAAACTTTCAGAGAGCCTCCAAGGGGAACAAGTACTGAAGAACAAAATTTCTGAAGCCAATTTTGGTCCCTCTCTCTTCCTTTCTCTTTTAGTCATTACCCCAAAGGCACCTTGTCTCATAAAACTGACTCTATAAAATGCCTCTTGTAAAATAACAGAAAAAGGAAAGTTTGGAATTAGAAACAATAAAATAAAAAGCTAGCCCTTAACTAGATCTATAATCTTCAGATTTTCACATAGGAGAAAAAGTAGTGAATGAAGAGTTTTCTCTGAAAATTGTATGCTTATGTTGCGTATAATTAAAATAGCTAGAATGTGAGGTAAAATAAGTTGCTTTTCTAGAGCTCTGAGGTTAATACAGAGGAAAATTAAGTTATATCTAATTGTTGAAAATAATTTAATGATGATGAATATTTTGACATGTCAAATGGGTTAATTGCAGAGATATTTTTAAAACTTTATTTTAGGAATCTCTTAGAATAGCTCAAAAATCTTATGTTGTTGAAGCAGGCATAGCACATGCCTGAAAATGGACTTCCTCCTGAGGAAAGGGGCTTAAGCACATTCCTGTCCTCTTATCTTTTTGTAAGAAGCACAGAGAAAATGATGTTTAAAATGTAATTGTTGGAAGAAAATTTTCTCCTTATTAACACCCTAAAACTCTGCTGTGAAATTGTTAGAGGGTATGTGAATGGTTATCAACTCTCCTAAATATGATTAGGATCAATCACTCTGTTCTCAACAGCAAGCTCATCCTATGACATCTGGCATATCAATGATTACATTTTAAAAATATATCCATTTTACCTAATCTAAACCAAATTGTAAAGAATTTCATTACATATTTTCATGTTTTGAAATGCACGTGGTCAACCTACACATAAATATTTAGAAATGTCACATGAGAAATAGGTTATTGATTATTGATAGAGTATCATCTCCTTCCTTCCTAACCAATGTAATGGTGTGGTAATATAACCTTCCAGTTGTGAAGCCTGATATGCCAGGGTTACTGCTTGTGGAACCATGGAGAAGCCAAATGGGTCTTTTGGATTACTGAATCCTCATTTGTAAAATAATGTTTGGATATAAAATTTAATTTCTCTGTTCCCTTCCAGTTCTTCAGATTCTGATTTAAAGCATAATTTTTATACAAGGGCTGTATCTGGCATCCTCTGGCATAGCTTAATATAGTGCTGAGAAAATAGGCCCTTGATTATCCATTAATAATAACCTATGTTTTTAATGATACTTTATACCCTAAAAACACATTTACAAAAACCACCATTTTCAATGCCCACTTCTCACAACCTATAGAGAGAAACATGGACAAGAGTAATTATCTCCATTTCAATAAGTTGAGAATCATAATTCAAGGAGAATGCTTCTAAGTTACAAAACCAAGAAGTAGCTAATTTGGCTTAAGAATTCAAGTTTTCTGACACTGCGTGCAATGCACCCTATTGGTGAAGTCATTTCTACAAGCCCTGCTTGTATGTACAGGCTCTGTTTCTAAGTTTGTAACTATAAAATAGCAGTATTTGTAACTCTTGCATATGTTTTTCTTGTAATACTTTCTAGAAATGCCCTCCTTGTTCATCATCATTATTCATTTGTAGGATACACTTTATGAGAACTCTGAAATCCACCTTCTAGTTCCTCTTCTGGAAGATTCAGCATCCCCAGGAACTCTAACCTGGCTTCTTCATGTATTTAAACATACAGGTAAGAGACGTAGCTTTACCTTCGCCATCACTCAGACGTACTATAAGCCCTGACTTGTGATATTTTATTTGTAACTTTACTGAATGAACAACCAAAAGAAAAGAAGCCATTCTTTTTCTAATGTTTTATTGTGTTCATATAGGATACTGTTTTGAAGAAGTTGTAAATTTGATAAATTCTTAGTTATCTTCTATATATTAACAGAATCTGCTCATATGTGCTTCTGAGAATTGTGTTTAATATTTCTTTTATATCTACCAAATATGGTTTTATAATTTGACTGAGAATAGTTCACTTCTTTATATTTTACCTGAAACAATCTTAATAGTCAAATGAGGAAATGTTTCAAAGATTCAGAAGTAAAATTTATCACTTCAACACTAACCTATATAAAACTGAATTTTCTATACAACTCATCATTAAAATAAATCCATATTTTATTGCGTATTTTTTTATGGAACACTTTTGCAAAAGTATAAAATCAAGAGATTCTTTTGTGCCTATAACTAGAGATCTGTGTGCTCAAGAAAGGATTCAGGGCTCCAAAAACACAATGTATTTTCTTGTCCTTTTGAAACAAGGTGAATGTATCATGCCATATTATCCTATCTGTACATGTGTGTAAATGTTTGTATGTGTATAACTACAAGTGAAAATGAATATGGTGATGTTTATTTTTTATAATTAACCTGTAGGACTGTTGCCATTGTTTTACACACAAACAGGCCCATAAAACTCATCAACTGAAAGTTTTATGTGGGTCAGTTCATCCACTTAGAGGGCACAAAATTCAGTTACAATGTCACTGCCTGCCAGGACACAGTCAGTTCAGGCTTAGTCACAACTCAAGGTTGTTTTCTTTTGGCATGTTGGTGACCACTGAACATTAATCAAGCAGCTTTAACTTCTGACTATTTACTGTGAGTTGGTTAACAGATATTCCTGTCCAGCTAACTTTCTGCCATGACTGGTATAATTTATTTAAATCATAATCCCACTCACCCCTAGTTCTCAGCCTTGCATTCAGTACAGCCCGATCACCACAAACCCTGCTATCTTCTTCAGTAGGCAAAGCAATGTCGAAATTGCAGTGCTCATGATACTGTTCTTACTGTTTTTAAATAATAGTTGACAAAACATTTTGAATTATCAAATGTATCTTTAACCTGAAGGGCAAAGACTCTCATTTGAGTTTCTGTTTTTCATAGTATTTATTAGAATCCTGTGCATGTTACAGACATGGGTCTTATGAATGAGTGATCACATGTTGCATGAATAGAAAAGTAATAGGAGAGAGAATTAAAAAGTGCTGAAGGTGTAAGGAGAACAGGAGGCAGAAGGAGGCAGGATGTTTTCTTGGATCTCATATTTTGCTGTATATAAACTAAATATAATCATTACAATAGAGAAGGCTCTCTGTATACTTGAAATTTCCTCTGTATTATATCGATGAATAGACCTATAATTCAGTCTGACAATTGCTGCTCATCACTTCTGCTTTCTATAAAATGTGTCCAGGTAATTGAAATTAATACTGATTTAAAGACAATTTTAAAAGGTGAACAATATATTTCAAAATCTTCTTAAATATGATATAACAAGATAGTGAAAAAACAATTATAGGCTCCAGATCTTGAAGAGGGCAAAGATTCAGAGAGGTAGGCTCATTCCCATAAAACACCACTTTTTGCTTCAGAAGTATTCTTGTTTGAAAAAGATAGCTAAGAAGTTGATCTTCACAGGGACATGGAAACAAAAGTTCGAATCCAGGGTCTGGCTGAATACTGCACAACCACCTCCTCTGGCTCTGCTGAGTTTCTGAAAGGCTTCATCCTAGTAATACTAACTGAATTGTACTCAGCTTTGAATCTAAACCCAAACTTTGAACTTGCATGGTTAAGGAAATTGCTGGATATTCAGAAACTTAGAAAATGCCCTTTGGAGAAAAATACAGTAATTCTAAGTCTCAAATTATTTGTAAAAATAAATTTTGAAATTCAGTGTTTTAGAGGCAATTAAACAATACACAAGGAGACAAGATCCCTATAAGTGAAACCTAGCACAATGCACAACTCAGAAAGAGCCATGGAGACTCCAGATGCTAGAATTAGCAAACACAGCCAAAATGAAAAATGTCAAATTAGAAACTCACACAGAATGATAAATACTAGAAGAATAGAAATGCTAATTACCCAGATTTGATCATATATTGTATATATGTAACAAACTATCCTTGTACCCCATAAATAAGACTGTTTGTTAATTAAAAATTATTTTAAAAATAATACAGATATTCTAATTTTTATGTAAATCAATAAACTGGAAACTATAAAATATGGCAAGAAATTTTAAAAGCTATCAAATGGAAATTCTAGATCTGATAAAATATAATAACTCTAAGAACTCAATAAATTGATTTCACAGCAGATTAGATACTATCAAATACTATCAAATACAAAATCAATAAGCAAACTGGAGGTTAAATCAAAAGACTCTCCAAAACAGTGAGCCAAGAGGTCACAAAAGAGAAGCATAGAGGATGTAGTGTGGCTATATAACATATGATGTTTAGAGTCCCAGCAGGACAAAACAGAATAAGATAGAAGGTCAAATCTGAGAAGACTGTAGCTGTGAGAAGTGAAGAGCATCATAATGACAAACACATGGACAGACCTAAGTGAGTACTGACAGTACTAAACAGTAAGAATTACTTCTTGTGTGGTTTAAAATAGGTAGAAAACTATTTTTAAGGGAACAGGTGAATTCAAGTTTAATGCTTTGCATTTCTCAGGAAAAGGGTAAAAATGTAATTTACATTATATCTTAATAAAATCAAGCATGCATGTTAAAATTTCTAGGAATCACTAAAAAAGACTGCAAAAATGAGTATATGTATTTCAAACTGATACAGGGATTAAAAAATTAAATGACAATTTCATTAGTTTAGAAGAAAAAAATAAAAGAAAGAGACATAACAGGCAAGAGAAAATAAAGCAAAGTATAGGTTATTTTACTGAAACCAACATATATTGATAATTACATCAAATGTACATAAACCTGGTAAACTAAGATCTACATGCTTTTAAAAAGAAAAACAGATAAAATATAACTCTACAGATCACTAAAAATAAAATGGGAAGGAAAACCACTGAAATCAGTTACCATCAGGCAAAATAAATTTTAAGCAAAACTGAAAACAAAAATTACTATTATAAAAATATACTCATTACTTTAATATAGAAAATTCAATTCAGAAGAAATTTTTAAAATATGTGTATTTAATAGCACAACCTAAATGTATATAAAACAAAATGGCAGAACTATAATTTGAAATACACAAGTACAAAATTGTTGTGGGGTATTTTTTAAATTTTCTTTTAAAAATTGAGAAAAGGCGGGAAAACAAAAAAATAAGTACACTGAAGACAAACTAATCCACTAACAAGCTTGATTTTATGGATACAGACATTATATGGAAATAACTATGATTATTTGTAGAGCAAATAATATATATACGATTTTTGAACTGAATAAGATAGACTATTAAACACAGATAAGAAAAACAAGAAAAATGCAAAGTATTTTAGGAGTGTATGCATATTGGAATCAATAAAAGGTTAACATTAATGAGCTAAGTATTCATTTCAAGAATTTAGAAAAAGTATATTCAACTAACTGTTGCTTTTTTCATAATGGCCACAAATTTAAAATGAAAAATTTATACAATAAATGTGTTTATATCATGATAGCATGAGAAACAAAATAAGGAAATATAGGCTGATTTATAAGTTAAATTCAGTAAATATCTGTTGCCTAACTGCATGGCATCATCAGCAATTTCTCCATTGAATGAATATATAATACTATGGCAAGTGACCACATTTCAAAGTATATAGACATTTTTTTCAATATAAACAGGTTCTGAACATGTTCAACTTGATCCCATAAGCAGCTGGCCTAAATGAAATTTAGGATCTTATTCTCCCAGAAACTAATGCAACATGTTTCTTCTAAGATTAAAATAGGACTAGAAAATTTGTCATTTGTCATTAAAATTGCTCCTACCTTTAAAGCTTCTCAAACATTTTTGAAGCATAATTGACAATGTTGACAATGTTATATAGCGTTATGTCTTCAAGACTATCAGTGTTCAAAATTATCACAATTAAACTAGGTAGAAGAGTGTGCCAGAATTAATATATTACCTCTTATTATTTTTCATTTTTAATAATTAAAATATCAAATATCTTATGTTTGGTAAGAATACCCAAAGACCATATTTGGACCATATTTGGCATGCCTGAATAATATTATAACTCCTAAGATAATATCATCTCTAATAAATGGTTTTGATATCATCATTGATATTTAATTGAAAATATTATTTATATTTTACATTGAGTTATAACATATATGAATGAGGAAACCTCCAAATAGGCAATGGAATATTTACAAAGAATAAAAACAAAGAGTAAGAACAGAGCATACTGTTATACGTACTTTTACTATTCTTACCAATGACTGCAAACTGGCTTCTATCTTCCTAGCTATTATAACTTAATTATAACATAATTTGTCTCCAAAATTTACCCCACTGGTGCATCTGAATGAAATTGCATTCATAGGTATGCATGAATGTACTAGTTTTGGCCCCAGTCAGAGAAGCTGCTATATCTCAATCCCTCTGGCTTTCCTTCATCTTTAGGTGTATCTGGAAGAAGATACACCTAGGCTGTCTGAGCCCTACTTCATTGCTTCCCTTAGACTGCCCATTACAATTCACTTGCTGTTGTTCTGGGCCCCTGACATTCAGTTGCATTCCTCGTCCTGGTCAAGCAATGAGCTCAATGATCAAAATACGGACAGCAAATTTTCCCCTTGTAAATCCTATAACATAACGGTATTAGTCAGCTTTCCTGTCACTGAGACACCACGCCTGACTCCCACAACTTAAAGGAAGAAAGGTTTAGTTTGGCTCAAGGTTTTGGAAGATTCAGACA